ACCGGTTCAACCCCCTCCCTCCCCCTCGAAAACCAGGGTGTGGTCACTGCTGGTTCGACCCCCCCCCCCCTCGCCGCTGGCAAACGATTCCCGCTCCTTGGGAAGGTTGGACGGATACACAGTGGTGGGGACGGTGGGGACAGTGGTGTGAAGACACTGGGACAGCGGTGCGGACAGTGGTGGGGACGGTGGTGGTGGGGACAGTGGTGAGGGGACAGCGGGACAGTAGTGGGGACAGTGGGACAGTGGTGGGGACGGTAGTGGTGGGGACAGTGGTGAAGGCGGTGGTGAGGACGGTGGTGGGACAGTAGTACAGTGCGGAGAGTGGTGGGGACAGTGGGGACAGTGGGACAGTGGTGGGGGCAGTGGGGATAGTGTGACAGCACAGTGGGACAGCGGCGGGGACAGTGGGGACAGTGTGACAGTGGTGGGAACCGTGGGGAAAGTGGGGAGAGTGGGACTGTGGTGGGACAATGGTGGGGAGAGTGGGGACAGTGAGACACTGGTGGGGGCATTGGTGGGGACATCGGGGACAAAGGTGGGAACAGTGGGGACAGTAGGACAGTGGTGAGGACTGGGGCAGTGGTGGGGACGGTGGTGGTGGGGACAGTGGTGTGGGGACAGTGGGAATGTGGTGGGGACAGTGGGACAGGTGGGGACAGTGGGGGTGGGGACAGAGGTGAGGGCGGTGGCGAGGACGGTGGTGGGACAATGGGACAGAGCGAGATCCACCGCCGCTTTACTGTGCAAAATTCCCCCCCTCTTCCTCTGGAACCCGGCCCCCCCCCTCGAAATTCCCCTCCTCCCCCCCCCATGCGGGACCCCCCCTTTCCCCCCGGCAAACCCATGTATATATAATATATGTACAGATTATATATACGTAGATATAAATATGTATATACATATACACATATACATACATGAACACATGTTTGTGTGTATACATTCATATGAGGAATATCTATGTAATCCTTAGGAATCTTTATGGAATCCATCGGAATCGTGATGGAGTCAGTTTGCATGGGATCCATAAGAATTGCTAGGGAGTCTGTTAGGAATTTCTATGGAATCAATCGGAATCTGTCCGGAATCGATCGGAATCTCCCTGGAAACCGCAAGAATCTCTAGGGATTCCATCGGAATCTCTTATGGAATCCATAAGAATCTTTAGGGAATCCATAGGAATGGGAATCCATGGGGATCTTTCCGGAATGCATGGGGATTTCGACGGAATGCATAGGAATCTCGATGGCATGCATCGGAATCTCTATGGAATCCATGAGAAACTGTATGGAATCCATAAGAATCTCTGGGGAATCCATGGGCATCTCTATGGAACCCATGGGCATGGGAATCTTCATGGGATCCATCGGAATATCTATGGAATCCATCGGAATCGCTAGGGATTCCTTCGGAATCCTTAGGAATTCCTTAGGCTGCCAAGGGCGTTTGCTGGGGCCGGGAGAGGCGTTGGCACACCAGGGCGCGCCGCCGCCGTACTGCAAGGGCACACTTGCCGGGGCCGGGAGAGTCGTTGGCACACGAGGCGCGCGAATGCTTGCACCACTGGAAGAGGCCCGGGGCCGGGAGAGTCGTCGGCAAGTCCAGATCGCGAACGCTTTCATCCGGGGCCGGTTGAGACCGGGCACGCCTCGGTGGGCGTTGCTACGTTGTTGTTGTTGTTGTTGTTGTTGTTGTTGTTGTTGTTGTTGTTGTTGTTGTTGTTGTTGTTGTTGAACATTATTAATTCTAAAGAATAATTATTGTTGGGCCCCCTGGTGCACGCCCCCCCCGCCGCGCCTAGGCCGCAGCTACATTTTCATCATTTTCGTGAGGAAGCCTCAGGTAATTCGATGTGATCAAGATCCGGTTGTTTTGTTCCCCCCGCTTTCCCTTGCAAAAAACACTATAAAATGACATTTCTTGTTCTAATATAATCAAATTTCAAGAATCCCTTGCAAAAAATAAGGTAAAGTGGACATTCGCGCGCGCAAGACGAAATCCTTCCAAAAGCTTAGTGTTCGGAGCGATTTCAACATAAAAACATCAAAAAACCAATGGTTTTTCAACAAAAAAATGTCAAAATCTCATCCCGCGCGCTCTTGCGGATTCGTAGGAAACCCAACACTTTTTAAACATTTCTGTCAAACGGGCTTTTGCGAGCAACTTTTTCGAACTTCTGCGACAACGGTTGCGCACCTGCCAGGGCCATCATCCCTGTCAAATAATACCATGCGGGACACATTCGTCTCTCTGTATTATGTATTGTATGGCACAATTGCACCATGCTGGGCACATGCGCGCCCCGAATAAGTGACCAAGTTCTGTGGGTGTGTACCCCACGCCAGTGTAGTAGCCACGGTCGTCCGCACGCCACGAAGTGAAGTGTCCCAACGTCATAGGGCGGGAAGCTGGGTTTGGGTGGTCGCGAAGAGTCGTTTGGATATTTGGTAGAGCTTGTAATGCCCCCCCACGAAGTGGGGGTATTGCCTGGTGTCGTATGAAAACCCTGGCACTGGGGAGAACACCACGCGTTCGGGTAAAATGATTGTTGTTGTTGTTGTCGTTGTTGTTGATGCTGAATTCTCATTTCTGCAGAATAATTATTGTTGAGCCCCCCCACCGGTGCATAGTGTTTTTTCTCAATCAAAGTGTGCCCCTCGACGCTCGCACCCTGTTTTTTGACAGGGGACGTCTTCCTGGTCAAACTGGCCCCCTGGGCCCCGGGTTACAACAACAGCGGCTCCCGCCTGAGACCTCCTTACAATTCAGCCAGGACCCCTGCTCCCGCCCGAGATTTCCTCGCATTCTATTCAGGAATCGCGCTCTCGCTTGGGACTTCCTTACAATTTATTCTGGAATCGTTCTCCCGGCGCTCTGGAGTCGCGCTCTCGCTGGAGACTTGCTTGCAACTTACTGAAGAATGGCCTTGCGTTGGAATTTCCGGCAAGTTGCCCAAGCGCCGCGCTCCCGACACCCAGGCACCCAGGAGTCGCGCCCGTTGTGGCCCCATGTGCATGCCCTTCGTGGCCCCGCTGTCGCCATTTGTGTCCCCCTCACTGTCCTACGTGGCCCAGTTGCTACCCTCAGTGGCCCCATAGTTGCCTTCTGTGGCCCCGCATTATCTGCACTTCGTGGCCCCCGCTCGTTCGCGCTCTTCGTGGCCCCATACGCATTCCCTTCGTGTCCCCGCTGTCGCCCTTCGTGGCCTACTTCGTGCCCTTCGTGGCCCTGCTGTCGTTCTCTCTCGCTCTCGCTTTCGCTCGTCGTCGCCGTCGTCGTCGTCCGTCGTCGTCGTCGTCGTCGTCGTCGTCGCCGTCGTCTTCGACGTCGTCGTCGTCGTCGTCGTCGTCGTCGTCGTCGTCGTCGGTCCCCTGTCCGTCCCTCTTGGGGTCGGGTCGACGGTCCGCGGCCGCCCCGCCGATCAGCGCTGCCGCTGGCCAGGCCGACGGTCCGCGGCCGCCCCGCCGCTTGCCAGGGCCCGGCCTGCAGGGAAGAAAATTATACCCCCCAAAAGAGGTTCGATCGAAGACGAACAGGGCGGGTATCGAGGGCTTGGGAAATACGCGTTATTGAACACTCGAGCATATAAAGACGAACCGTCTTAGAATTATTGTTGTTGTTGTTGTTGTTGTTGTTGTTGTTGTTGTTGTTGTTGTTGTTGTTGTTGTTGTTGTTGTTGTTGTTGTTGTTGAATTCTCATTTCTGAAGAATAATTAGTGTTGAACGCCCCCACTGGTGCATAGTGTTTTTTCTCAATCAAAGTGTGCCCCTCGACGCTCGCACCCTGTTTTTTGACAGGGGAAGTCTTCCTGGTCAAACTGGCCCCCTGGGCCCCGGGTTACAACAACAGCGGCTCCCGCCTGAGACCTCCTTACAATTCAGCCAGGACCCCTGCTCCCGCCCGAGATTTCCTCGCATTCTATTCAGGAATCGCGCTCTCGCTTGGGACTTCCTTACAATTATTCTGGAATCGCTTTCCCGGCGCTTTGGAGTCGCGCTCTCGCTGGAGACTTGCTTGCAACTGACTGAAGAATGGCCTTGCGTTGGAATTTCCGGCAATTTGCCTAAGCGCCGCGCTTCCGACACCCAGGCACCCAGGAGTCGCGTCCATTGTGGCGGGATTCCTGCGCGCGGCGCTGGTGGCGGCAGTCGGCCAGCCGCTGAGCACGTGCTGGCCCGATCGCAGCCGAGACTCACGAAGACGACCCGGCACAAACAGTTGTCTGCAATTTGGGCAGTCGAAGGCCAGACTGCCAGATTGGATTGGGCCCCAAGGGCCAATCTGGCCTGGCCAAACTGGAGGATTTGGGTTATTCGCCAGACCGGATTCGCGTTGGCTCCCTCGTCAGATTGCCCCCGTTTGCCAGATTGGGCCTGCCAAATTGGCGCCAGATTGGCTTCGACTACCCAGGCAAATGCGAAGCGCGACCCTAGGGGCTGTTGTAACGGCGCAGGGGCCGGTTTGATGGGTCGAGTTTGGCAGGGTTTTCTCGCTGGGTGAGACGTGGGGGTTGAGGAAGGAAGCGAGGAAGAAAACGAGCAACATGAGGAGGAGGAGGAGGATGTGGAGGAAGCGGACGCCGACGAAGGGTGAAAGGGGCAGACGGTGGATGGGCAGGACGATGAGTATTAGGTGGACGGTGGAAGAATAATGGGACATTGGGCAGGAGAGGGCGGCGCTGACGTCGGCTTCGGCGGCGGCGACGACGATGACTTTTGACAATGGCGTCGACGCCTGATTCCGGCGACGGCGACGGCGGCGGCGGCGCCAGCGCCGACGCCGACGCCGACGTCGACGTCGACGCCGACACGTACGCCGATGCTGACGCCGACGTCGACGGGGGCGGTGGAGGACGCCGACGGCTACGCCTCCGACGACGACGGCGTCGACGACGATCCCTGCCGCCGGCAGCGGCGACGCCCGATGACGGCGGCGGCGGCGGCGGCGGCGCGGACGTTGGAGGTGCGGGCCTGGCAACCCCCCCCCGGCCGCGGAGGCGGTGACGTGAGAGTTTCGCAGCAGGCCCGCGGACGGCCCCGCGCCCTCCTGTCCGCGGCGGCCGTCGTCGTCGTCGTCGTCGTCGTCGTCGTCGTCGTCGTCGTCGTCGTCGTCGTCGGCGTGGCCGCGTTCGCCGTCGTCGCCGTCCTCCTCGTCGCTGCGGCCGCTCTCGGTGCCGCGGCCGCTGTCGGTGCCGCCGCGGCCGCCGCCGTCGGTGCCGCGGCCGCCGCCGTCGCCGCGGCCGCCAACGGTGCCGCCGCCGCGCCAGGTCTTCGTGAGCCTGGAGAAGGAGCTGCCGCGGGCCGCCGCCCGGGGGGGCCCGCCTCTCGAGGCCTTGTGGCTTCGAGGGTCGACGAGGACGACGTCTTCGATTCTTCCCTCGCCTCGCTCCCCCCCCATGTCCCCCTCCCCTTCCCTCCCCCTCCCCCGCCCCCCCTCTCCCCCCCCCTCCCCTCCCCGCCCCCTCCCCCTCCCTTCCCCCCCCCCCTCCCCTCCCCCTCCCCCTCCCCCTCCCCTCTCCCCCCCTCCCCCCCCTCCCCCTTTCACACTTACGCAATATGAATACTGCTCTCCTCTCCCCCCTGGCGACGTCGGGGAAATATCCGGCCCCCTTTCCGCGTCCTGTATAACAAAAAACTGCTCTCGCTGAAGCGCTGGCCTCATTTTTGGGCTACCGCTCGTTCCGAATCGTGCTTCCGCTGCAGCGCCGCGCTTCCGCGTTCCGGATCGTGCTCCCGCTGCAGCGCTGGCGTGATTATTTCCAGCGCCATTCCACGGCATGGTTTTCGGTCCTTCCAAATAGGCCTCAAAATCTAGAAAATGCCCCCCTCCACAAAACCATCAGAAGTAATTACACATTCGGTGTCGGTTCGTTGGTTTTGTGGGCCGCAGAAGCCCCCCCCACTTTGGGGCGTCGTCGCTCTCAGGAAGTATCAAGCGTGAGCCTCGTTCCTGCTTTGAGAAGGCGATGTTGCACACAGAACCAGCGGGTGCTCTGCATCAGCTCCGCCTTGTGGGGAGCCTCTCGGGGAGCCCAGGGAGCTAAACATGGAGCAGCGAGTCCAGACCGGCCTAGACCCTGCGAAGACGATCCACTTACCCTCCAAGGAACCCGGCGCTATGCCATGACATGTTGTGCGGTGTTGTGTTCTGCGCCGCTGTGCGGTGTCATGTTTTGCGTTGCAATGCTTTGTGATGCAATGATTCACTGCGCAATGCCATGCCTTGCTATGGCATGCTTCGCTCTGCCGTGCTCTTCTACGCCATGCCACGCCGTGCTCTACCATGCATCGCGTACCCTCTCGCGATCATTGCAAGCTCGACATCCGATTGTGCGAATAAAGAGGATATCGACGCCATGGTAAGGGATGGGAGGGAGGGGTGGGACGTCAGATATGACGCGAGCGCACCTGGCTTGCCCTCCCCCCCTCTCCCCCTCCTCCCCCTCCCCTCTCCAGCCCCTCCCTCCGCTGGCATGGCCCCTCTGACGCTCAATCCCTCCACTGGCCCGCCTGCCTCCCCTCCCCGCGTCCTGCCCTCTTCCCCCTCCATCCCTCCCCCTCCGGCGAGGATCGAGCCTCGAAAATCGATTCTTCGAGGATCGAGACTTCTCGAGCATCATGGCATCGAGGATCGACGAGGACGACGATGACGTTGACGACCCTGACGACGACGGATCGAGGTCCTCGACGACGACGACGACCACGACGACCACGACGACGACGAGCATCGTGGCTTCGAGGACCTCGAACCCTGAGATCCTGGCGTTGCATCTTCTTCAGAATGGGCTTTTTCGCCCTGTCTCGGGCCCTGGGACCTTCGCAGATCGCGCGGGCGTGGATAATGACGTGCAAAGATGGGGTCCAGGGCTCCGTTGGTGATCTGTTGCGATGCTGCAGTGTTTTGTCAGATCTGAAGGAATAACAGAAAACTGCGTAAACATAAACTTTCGGAGGTCCGCGCGGATTTCTTGGACCTGCGATGGAGCCCCCTGGCGGCGCCTCCGGCGCTGCCCCTGTCGGGCTCCGTTGGCCTTGAAGGAGGGTTCAGCGCAGACCCAAGGAATCCGCGCGGAGTTCCGAAAACGATTCTCTATATGCAGTTTTTCGTGTAGGATCGAAGCTATTTTGGGCCTCTTTCTCGTCGCCACGGCTGGCTTCGCGTGGAAGTGCTGGTCATAACGCGCCCTGCGAGGGGTCTCCAGGGTTTATTCTTGAAACCAGACCTTGCGTCGCGGAAACATCACGACGAGGACGAGGACGAGGACGAGGACGAGGACGAGGACGAGGACGAAGACGAGGACGAGGACTAGGACGACGACGGCGGCGACGGCGGCGACGACGACGTTGACGACGACGACGACGACGACGACGACGACGACGACGACGACGACGACGACGACGACGACGACGACGACGACGACGACGTTGACGACGACGACGACGACGACGACGACGACGACGACGACGACGCGACGACGACGACGACGACGACGACGACGACGACGACGACGACGACGACGACGGTACGACGACGACGACGACGACGACGACGACGACGACCGACGACGCGGCGGCGGCGGCGGCGGCGGCGGCGGCGGCGGCGGCGGCGGCGGCGGCGGCGGCGGCGGGCGGCGGCGGCGGCGGCGGCGGCGGCGCGGCGGCGGCGGCGGCGGCGGCGGCGACGACGACGACGGCGGCGACGACGACGACGACGTTGACGACGACGACGACGACGACGACGACGACGACGACGTTGACGACGACGACGACGACGACGACGACGACGACGACGACGACGACGACGCGCGACGACGACGTTGACGACGACGACGACGACGACGGCGACGACGACGACGACGACGACGACGACGACGACGACGACGACGACGACGACGACGACGACGACGACGACGACGACGACGACGACGACGACGACGACGACGACGACGACGACGACGGGGGACCTCACTGGGCCCAGGGGACTCGCCAGGCCTAGGGTCCATCTGAAAACGGCCGGGGATGCACGGCCGGTCCAGGGGAAGTGGTCCAGGCCCCCGGGTGTCCACGCTGCGAAGCAAGCGCGACATCGGAGCTTCGGGTCTCGAGGCGGGGAAAGTCGACGACACGCCGACGCACGGAGCAGCGACGCGTGGATTGGCGACGGGACCCGCCTCCGTACGCAGAATCGGCGCGCTCCGTCGCCGGGTCGGGCGGTACTGGGCTCACGCTTCGGGGGGCACCTGTCCCGATCCGTGGATCTGGTGCCCACGCACCAGGTCCACGGTTTCCTAATCCGTGTCAGCATTCGCCAGAGAAAGGGGGCACTAGTGAGCCTCCAGGCCGCCCGGGTGCCCTTGGGGTGCCGCAAGAGGGCCCCAGTGGCCCTGAGTGACGCCCAGAGCGTCGGAGCTGCAGCTCTTGTTGTGCACACTTACGACCCAGATTCGGGACAAGTGGAACGTATTGGATACATGGGTGTTTATTTGGCGCATGCCCGGTCTGCATTCCATGCCGAAGTTACTGCTTTAGATTTGGCGCAAACTTGGGTTCAACGGCTCAGAGAACGATGTTTGATCACAGCGTAGCGCACGCATGGGAAACCAGTTCTATATTTCCAGGCGACTCGATGAGGGAAGCGTCATTGCAAAAAGTGGCCCTGAGTGATCCGAGAAGGCCGCAATGGGGCCACACGACAGCACCAAGAGGCTGACGCATATCCTACCTGGAAATGTGCTCACTTTTGTTGTTGTTGTTGGCGTTGTTGTTATTGTTGTTGTTGTTGTTGTGGTGGTGGTGGTGGTGGTGGTGGTGGTTGTATTGATTGGTGCTGTTGTTGCTGCAGTTGTTGTTGCATTTTTTTGTATGGTTGTTGTTGTGTTGTGTTGTGTTGTGTTGTGTTGTGTTGTGTTGTGTTGTGTTGTGTTGTGTTGTGTTGTGTTGTGTTGTGTTGTGTTGTGTTGTTGTTGTTGTTGTTGTTGTTGTTGTTGTTGTTGTTGAACATTATTAATTCTAAAGAATAATTATTGTTGGGCCCCCTGGTGCACGCCCCCCCCGCCGCGCCTAGGCCGCAGCTACATTTTCATCATTTTCGTGAGGAAGCCTCAGGTAATTCGATGTGATCAAGATCCGGTTGTTTTGTTCCCCCCCGCTTTCCCTTGCAAAAAACACTATAAAATGACATTTCTTGTTCTAATATAATCAAATTTCAAGAATCCCTTGCAAAAAATAAGGTAAAGTGGACATTCGCGCGCGCAAGACGAAATCCTTCCAAAAGCTTAGTGTTCGGAGCGATTTTAACATAAAAACATAAAAAACCAATGGTTTTTCAACAAAAAAATGTCAAAATCTCATCCCGCGCGCTCTTGCGGATTCGTAGGAAACCCAACACTTTTTAAACATTTCTGTCAAACGGGCTTTTGCGAGCAACTTTTTCGAACTTCTGCGACAACGGTTGCGCACCTGCCAGGGCCATCATCCCTGTCAAATAATACCATGCGGGACACATTCGTTTTTTCTTCGCGCGCGCACGCCGAAATCTCCAAAAACCATTGGGTTCTGTGGGTGTGTACCCCACGCCAGTGTAGTAGCCACGGTCGTCCGCACGCCACGAAGTGAAGTGTCCCAACGTCATAGGGCGGGAAGCTGGGTTTGGGTGGTCGCGAAGAGTCGTTTGGATATTTGGTAGAGCTTGTAATGCCCCCCCACGAAGTGGGGGTATTGCCTGGTGTCGTATGAAAACCCTGGCACTGGGGAGAACACCACGCGTTCGGGTAAAATGATTGTTGTTGAACACTATTACTTCTAAAGAATTATTATTGTTGGACCCCCTGGTGCACGCCCCCCGCCCAAAACCTAGGCCGCAGCTACATTTTCATCATTTTTCTGCGAAAGCTTCAGAAAAGTGGATTACCCCCGGATCCGGTTTTTTGTTGACGCTCGTTTTCCCTTGCAAAAAACAATAGAAAATGAAAATTCTTGTTCTTAGTTGATCAAATTTCAAGAATCCCTTGCAAAAAATAAGGTAAAGTGGACATTCGCGCTCGCAAGACGAAATCCTTCCAAAACCTTAGGTTTCGTAGCGATTTTAACATAAAAACATCAAAAACCCAATGGTTTTTTAAGAAAAAATGTCAAAATGTCCTTCCGCGCGCTCTTGCGGATTCATAGGAAACACACCACTTTTTAAACATTTCTGTCAAAAGGGTCTTTGCGTGCTACTTCTTCAGGTGCTTTGAACTTCTCCAACAACGGTTGCGCGCCTGCGAGGGCCACCATCCCTTGCAAAAAATG